CCAAAGGCATCCCCCCGGTTTCATGGCTAAGGCGGGACTAGAACTCACCGTCTCCTGGTGATCGGCCCAAAGTCACCGAGATGGCTTTCTTGACTAAGGCGGGACTAGAACTCACCGTCTCCTGGTGATCGGCCCAAAGTCACCGAGATGGCTTTCTTGACTAAGGCGGGACTAGAACTCACCGTCTCCTGCTTCCTCGCCTGGTCCCTTAACTTCTAGTTTAACTCCCAGCCAAAGCAGGAGATGCCTTTGAGCCAAACGGCCATCCCGTCTCTTCTTAAAAAACCTCCCGTGTCTTTTTATGGCAAGCGGTTCCACCGGCTAATTGTTCTCACTCTCAGGATCATCCTTTGGGGCAGCCCCTCAAATGTTGGAGCCCTGCTATCGTGTGTGCGTATCTCCCCACCCCCAGTCCTTCTTTCCTCTAGAGCAGGGGTTAGCCACCTGCGGCTCTGGAGCCACCTGTGGCTCTGTCCTCCCTCTTCTCAGCTCCCCGTCACACGGCCACCCATGGGTGACACCCGCTGGCATGCGATTTATTGAGCTTTTTGAGCCCCGGCAAGCCAGCCCTGGATAAATCCAAGAAAGAGTTTCAGAAGGAAACAGAACCTTTAATTCAGCCAAATAGGCTAGTTCTGTGGCCACTCAGGAAATCGTCAGGCAGGAGGGAGTTTTTGTGGCTCCCGGTGTTTTCTCTGGTCTAAATGGCTCTTTGATTCTTCAAGGTTGCCAACACAAATCCTTCTAACGTTTTAGTCTCCAGGCCTTTGATCTCCTTCCTTGCTCTTCTCTGCCCTCTTTCTCCTTCCGTTTCCTTTCTCCCCTGGACCTTCTCTAGGGAGGCCCCCTTGCCCATCGGAGGGACCCAAATCCAAAAGATCCTCAGTGTGCCCCGCGTGACGGAGAAGGATTTGAAACGCAACTTCACCTGCTTCGCGCAGAACAACAGAGGCATCGTCCAGGCCCAGGCAGTCGTCCGGATAAAACGTAAGGAAGCCCCCCAACCTCCAAGCAGCCCCCCACTTTCAGCTCTGCTCTGTGCAGGGAAGGAGTAGCAGGAAGGTTACGTTTTCCTCTCCCCAACTTTTATTTCCACTATTGGGACAAGTAATTTCTCCAGGGAGAGTATTTCTTGCTTGAAAAGCCAGGGAATAGCTAGAGTGTTTCTTTTTTTTTTTNCTCAACGCCAAAGGCGCACGGAACGCTGTTACCTTCCCACCAAAGGTGGTTCCTATTTTTCTACTTGCATTTTTCACATGCTTTTGAACTGCTAGAAGCTGGGACAAGTAACTGGCGCTCACTCCGTTACGTGGCGCTAGGGATTCGAACCGCCGAACTGCCGATCTTTCTGATCAACAATCTCAGCATCTTAGCCACTGAGCCACCCTTGCCGCTTCTTACCTGCTTGCATTTAATAAGGCCAGTCATTCTCAACGTACAACCCACAATTGAGCCCCAATGTTTACGTTGCTAAGCGAGACATTGGCTAAGCGAGTGTGGGCCCATTTTGCGACTTTTCTCGCCACATTCTTTTAAGTGAATCTCTGCGGTCCTTAAATGAGTCACACAGTTGTTAAGTGAACCTGGCTTCCCCCTTGACTTCGCTTGTCCGAACGTCGCAAAAGGGGAACACGTGATTTTTCCCCCGTCATAAATGTAAGTCCGTTGTCAAGCATCCAAGTCACGTCACTCTGAGGACGCTGCAACGGTCGTGCGAAAAATGGACGTAAGTGCCGTTTTAACTTCGAACGGTGACTAGGCGAACTGTCGTAAGTCGAGGAATGACCCGTACATTCTGTTGAGAATCTAGAATTCTCTAGATCCTGCGGGAATAGCAGAGAAAGTTTAAAACATGGCAAAAGAAAAAAGAAAAAAGAGAATTTCTAAAATATGCAGAGGGAACATTTTGAGAACATCAGAGATCAGCCGGGATGAGTCATTGGTCAAATGGAAAGAAGAAAAAATGAGAAGAAGAATAACAAAAAAAAAAATGACACGAACGTCTTAAAGGATGGGACAAAAATAGGCTTGTGTGAACTAGGACACAAGCGATCTTTTTTTAACAACAACAACAACAACAACTGAGATAACCATCAAGAGCAAGAACAGAGGCGTGAAAATAACAGCCAGGGTTTTGGTACTTAAAAGCCAGGCGATATGTTCAGGATCAAACATGGAAACTTGTTTAATAATGAAGTGTTTAGATTCCAGATCCGAGACCGTGATGGGAACCCGCGCCATTTCAAATGTTTCTAAGTGGAGACCATACAAGACCCCAAAGCTTCTAGCTATGAAAAGAACAATAACATGAGGGGCCCTTGGTGGTCTCTCAGCTTGGTGGTTTTCTTGCAGACGTTTCATTACCCAACTAGGTAACATCATCAGTGCTAGAAGGGAGTAGGGTTTGTGGAATGATGGAGNAGCCCCTGAGATATTGGAAGACTGCTATCATGTCTCCCCTGGTCCTTCTTTTCATCAAACTAGACATACCCAGTTCCTGCAACCGTTCTTCATATCTTTCAGCCTCCAGTGCCCTAATCCTCTTTGTTGTTCTTCTCTGCACTCTTTCTAGAGTCTCCACATCTTTTTTACATCATTACATGGATCGATGGATGGATGGATGGTATAGGGTTTCCTGCCTAGGCAGGGGGTTGGACTAGAAGACCTCCAAGGTCCCTTCCATCTCTGCTATTGTATTGTATCTTCAAAAGGATTTGTCTCCTGCTCACCTGACAAACTGAGCAGGTTCCTTAATTAACGTTCTCTTAGCCCGATATCTTAGCTAACTAAGAATAGCCCTTTTTTTAATCATCGTGATTCCTCCCCCCCTTCAAACATTTCTGCCTAGAAAATAAGAGGAGGGGAAAGGGGGGGGGAAGACCTCCGAGCTATTAAACAGAAGTTCCAAGATCAAAGCGGTTTTATGCAACCCATCGCTGTTTTCCCTTGACAATAGCTTATCTTCAGATCTAAACATTTGAGGAATCTCTCCGACTGGCAAGAGCCACCTCTTAAATTGTTTCTAATTAATAAGCGTGGCCTGATATTTCTTTTAAAAAGGTGCACTCCCCAGCAGATTCGACAGGCGGGAGATGTTCCCAAAATAAAATGCGAAATGTAACTGCGGCATTAAAAGTTTCCACCTCTACAGCAAAGAATATTTCTGGAGGATGTGCCAAAAAAAATAACGACAACATGTAGCTCTTAGTGCATGTTTTTTTTTAAAAAAAAATCCGGAGATGTGGGATTATTTTTAAGGTCATTCATTTCCTAAAGGTAAAGGTTCCCCTCGCACATATGTGCCAGTCGTTCCCGACTCTAGGGGGCAGTGCTGATCTGTGTTTCAAAAACGAAGAGCCAGCGCTGTCTGAAGACATGTCCGTGGTCATGTGGCCGGCATGACTGAACACCGAAAGCGCACGAAACTTTGTTACTTTCCCACCAAAGGGGGGTCCCTGTATTTCTACTTGCATTTTTTTCACGTGCCTTCGAACTGCTATCATAAAATGGGGCAAAATTCATTCAATTATCTGACTTTGCCACAAACATTTTGGGCTCAATTTTGGGGGTGAATTGAAGATTAAGGTAAAGGTTCCCCTTGCACATATGTGCTAGTCGTTCCTGACTCTAGGGGGCGGTGCTCATCTCCGTTTAAAATGCCGAAGAGCCAGCGCTGTCTGAAGACATGTCCGTAGTCATGTGGCCGGCATGACTGAACACCGAAGGTGCACGAAACTTGTTACTTTCCCACCAAAGGGGGTCCCTGTTTTTCTACTTGCATTTTTTTCACGTGCCTTCGAACTGCTAGGTTGGCAGAAGCTGGGACGAGTCACGGGAACTCACTCCGTTACGCGGCGCTAGGGATTCGAACCGCCCAACTGCCGACCTTTCTGATCGACAAGCTCAGCGTCTTAGCCACGGAGCCACCACGTCCCTATTTCATTTCCCTAATGGGTATTAATTTGGGACTGCAGGGGGAAATTCCCAGAATTCAATAGATGAATCCTCAATATATGATTTGATATTCTGAACAAAGGCAAGGGAGTTCCCATGCTTCCTAACCAGTGTTGTTCGATCACTAAGTCACGTCGAGGAGCCGAGGTGGGGCAGTGGTTAGGGTGCAGTACTGCAGGCCACTTCAGCTGACTGTTATCTGCAGTTCAGCGGTTCTAATCTCACCGGCTCAAGNCAGAGTTCCTGAGCCAACATGACTGGAGGAGGAATTCTGGGAGTTGAAGTCCACAAGTCTTAAAGCTGTCAAGTTTGAACACCCCTGGGGTTTTGTTTTCTAAGGGGGCTAGGGGTGCAAGGGCCTTGTAACTTGACAGCTTTAAGACTTGTGTGCTTCAAATGCCAGAGTTTCTGAGCCAACATTTTGGTTGCTAAGCAAGAGCGGTGTTAAGTGAGTTTCACCACATTTTACAAGTTGGCCACACCCACCCAGTCACCTGACTTCCAAGCCACTCCCACAAAGCAGGCCACACCTACAGAAGAGGTTCTAAAAAAAAATTGAAACCCACCACTGTCTGCAACCCTCACGTTAACCCAAGCATAGCTGGCCTAACTGCCTAGCCCTTTTTATTCATTCATTCATTTATTTTATTTAGAAAATGGATTATCCATCATGTAACTATCATCATCACCATCTCCATTTAATGACCCCATAATCCCTTGTGAGGTGGAGTTTGGGCAACTGAATGAAGCTGAGTGTTTACTGGCCGGATGCCCTTCCTGTCACCAGTGCGGAGTTTTATTCAGCAGATATTATTCTCATCGTGCCAAGAGAGAGAAACATTTGCCTCTACCTAGGATCAAACTCACAGCCTCCTGATTTTGAGGCGAGAGCGCCACCTCTAGGCCACCTCACCACTCTCATCAGGTAACTAGCGTTCGTAGCTTAATTTTTCCCCTATCTAACTAGATTAAATTATTCATTTAATTTAGAAAACGGATTATTTATCACGTAACAGTAGCAGGATAACAGCGTTGGAAAGGACCTTGGAGGTCTTCTAGTCCAGCCTCCTGCTCAAGCAGGGGACCCTATACCATTTCAGACAAATGGTAGTCCAATCTCTGCTTAGAAACTTCCAGGGCTGGAGCACCCACTGTTTCTGGAGGCTAGTCGTTCCACTGGTTTATTGTTCTCATTGTCCGGAAGTGAGAACTGAAGAAGCTTCTTGGATGAGAAGCGAAACCTCTTTGAGGAAAAACAAAAAGTCCAGTTGTCTCATGAAAAATCTCCTTAGGGACATCATGACCCCCTTTCTTTGCTTGCTGCCCTCACTATGATTATATAAGCTACCGTATTTTTTGGAGTATAAGACGCTCTTGAAGTATAAGACGCACCTAACTTTTGGGGAGGAAAACAAGGGGGAAAAAATCTGCCTCTGCAGATTCCCAGCAATTTGCCTCCTTGCAGCAAACAGCCCGTTTCAGTTTCACCACAGCCTGATTAGCACAAGAGGCTGATTGTCGGGCCTCCTGAAGATCAGCTGTTTCAGGCTGCAGGGATTGCCATAGCCTATTGCCGCCTCCACGCGCCCCATTTCCTGCCTCCGCACACCCCGTTTTCTGCCTGGGGTATGCAGAGACCGAAAATGAGATGCTGAGGCCAAAAAACGGGGTGCGCGGAGGTCATTGCAATGGCAATCCCTGCAGCCTGAAACAGCTGATTGTGGTGTAGCCAATCCAACTGACAATCAGCTGCTTGTGCTAATCAGGCTGTGCTGAAGCGGGCTGTTTGCTGTTTGCTGCAAGGAGGCAAATTGCTGGGAATCAGAGGCCGAAGGGTAGGGGCCAGTGAGTGGGCGGGGCAACATTCAGTGTATAAGACGCATCCAAAATTTCACCCTCTTTTAGGGTGGGAAGAAGTGCATCTTATACTCCAAAAAACACGGTAAATAGCAATGTCGCTAGAACCATTATTATATATATATTATACCGTTTTTTTTTTAAAAGACACCTAATTGTTACCATAAAACAAAATG